ATACCTTCATAAAAAACAAACAAACAAACAAACAAAAAACAGAAAATCGGGTGAGTAATCTCAATACCTGGATCTAACTTCATATCGCTGAAAGAGGCACTGAAGAGGGTATGAAAGAGTCTTGAATTGCTGACACCACCCCCTCCCCATCCCACGGCAGAGGCTGCATGGCACAGAGAGAAAATACGTGCACTGGGAGAGGGAGAGTTCAGTGATTGTGGGATTCCGCATTGGAACTCAGTGCTATCAACAGCAGAAATAACTCAGTCGATGCCCACGGAGGGAGCATTTAGATGACCCTTAGCCAGAGGACAATCACCCGTTCCAGCAGTTGGAACATGAGTTTTGGCAAGCCTCACCACTGTAGGCTGAAATGCTATGGGCAACTAAATAAACTTGAAAGGCAGTCTAGGCCACAAGGACTACAACTCCTAGACAAATCCTAGTGCTGTGCTGAGTTCAGAGGCCAGTGGACATGGTGTGCATGCAATCTAGAGAGATACCAGCCTGAGCAGCTGAGGGAGTGCTTGCATCACCCTCCCTCAACCCCAGGCAGTGCAGCACACGGCTCTGAAAGAGACCCCTTTCTTCTGCTTGACAAGAGGAGAGGGACAAGTAGAGAGGACTTTGTCTTGCAACTTGGGTGCCAGCTTAGCCACAGTAGTATAGGCACCAGGCAGAGGTTGTGAGGCCCCTGTGGCAGGCCTTAGCTCCTGTATGATGTACAAAATCAATGTACAAAAGTAAATAGCATTTCTATGTGCCAACAATGTCCAACCTGAGTGCCAAACTGAGAATGCAATCCCATTCACAATTGCCACAAAAATAAAATAAAATACCTAGGAATACAACTAACCAGAAAGGTAAAACATCTCTACTACAATTACGACAAACACTGCTGAAAGAAATCAGAGGTTACACAAACAGATGGAAAAACATTTCATACTCATGGATAGAAATAATCAATATTGTTAAAATGGCCATAATGCCCAAAGCAATTTACAGATTCCATGCTATGTCTATGAAACTACTGTGATGGTTAATACCTAGTGTCAACTTGATTGGATTGAAGGATGCAAAGTATTGATCCTGGGTATATCTTTGAGGGTGTTGCCAAAGGAGATTAACACTTGAGTCAGTGGGCTAGGAAAGGCAGACCCACCCTTAATCTGGGTGGGCACCATCTAATCAGCTGCCGGTGTGACTATAATATAAAGCAGGCAGAAAAAATGTGAAAAGACTAGACTGGCCTAGCAACCCAGCCTACATCTTTCTCTCATGCTGGATGCTTCCTGCCTTTGAACATCAGACTCCAAGTTCTTCAGTTTTGGGACTTGGACTGGCTCTCCTTTCTCCTTAGCTCGCAGATGGCCTATTGTGAGACCTTGCAGTCACATGAGTTAATGATTAATAAAATATATATATACACATATCCTATTAGTTCTGTCCCTCTACAGAACTCTGACTAATACAGATTTTGGTACCAAGAGTGGCTCTAGAGGAACAGAATATTAAAAATGGAGTTCTTTCATTGGTTTGGGGTTTCTGGAGTTGGCTACTTAATATGATTAGACCAAAAAAATGCTAAGGACTCTAGTTTTAATAGTAGTATGGAGAGCACTGATAGTCCTTGGCATTAACTGTTTAGAGAGTTATGCAAAATAAACTCATTTGACACTCCTGATTGACTGCTTGTGAGAGGCAAGGAGTTTAGTGACTCTATACATAATACCTTTGACCATATGTAGAGAACCAAGGAACATAATGAAGCTGATTTGTTACTCCTAAGTTCAGTGGACAAAGTAATGAAAGAAAATGATGAACTCAGGGATTCTATCTCCCAGCTTCAGAAGCAGATACTGAATATCAAATCTGTTAAGATTGCCCTGAGTGAGAGTCTTAACTCCTTTAGAGAAAGAGCTGAAATTGTGGAAAAACAGACACAAGCTCTTATCATGCGAGTGGCTGACCTGCAACAAAAGGTGCATGCACAGCCTCGCCAGGTGTCACTGATTGGAAAAGAATGGGACCCTGCAACTTGGAATGGGGACATGTGGGAGGACCCTGATGAAGCTGGGGACACTGAGTTTGTAAATTCTGATGAACTTTTTTGCCAGAAGAAACAGCTTCCTCATCCCCAGTAGTGGCAACATCACCTCCCCGACCCATGCTGCCATCAGCCTTTCCACCTTTGTCTGGGGAGATTAACCCTGTGCTGCCTCATGCAACAGTGATGGCCTCCCCTGAGGCAGTTGCCAGGCAAGATAATGTTGAGTCTCCTCAGGAGCCACCCCCAATACCCCTGTTTGCTTCTAGAACTATAAATAGACTAAAGTCCCAGCAAGCCCCTAGAGGTGACGTTGAGATGACCCATGAGGAGATGCACTACACTCGAAAAGAATTGCTTGAGTTTTCTCATTTATATGAGCGGAAATCCGGAGAACAGGCATGGACATGGATATTAGGGGTGTGGGATAATGGTGGAAGGAACACAGAGTTGGATCAGGCTGAATTTATTTATTTAGGCCCATTAAGTAAGGACTCTGCATTTAATGTTGCAGCTCAGGGAGTTTTAAAAGGTTCTAATAGTTTATTTGCTTGTTTAGCTGAAATATGGATTAAAAGATGGCCCCCTGTGAGTGAGTTGGAAATGCCTGATCTCCCTTGGCTTAATGTAGAGGAAGGGATCCAAAGGCTTAGGGAGATTGGGATGATGGAGTGAATTAGTCACTTTAAACCTACTCATACCAGCTGGGAGGGTCCAGAAGTTACACCCTTGACCAATGCCTTGTGAAATAGATTTGTGAGGGCAGCACCTGCATCTTTGAAGAGCCCTGTAATTGCTCTTTTCTATATGTCAGATCTAACGGTGGGAACCACAGTCACTCAACTACAAAATTTAAATACAATGGGAATAACTGAAGCCCAAGGTGGCAGGAACCAAGTGGCAGCACTCAACTGTCAAAGGCAAGGTGGGTGTAGCTACCATAATGGACAGCAGAAGCAAAGCATTAATCAGTCTGACTCATGTAGAGCTCTGGCACTGGCTAATTAATCGTAGTGTTCCTAAAAAGTGAAATTGATAGGAGGCCTACTGCATTGCTATTTAATTTATACAAACATAAAACTTCTAGGTTGAATGGACAAAAGACTAATTTGAATTATAAAAGCAGAGAATCATGGCCCCTCAATCAATTTCCAGACTTGAACCAGTTTACAGACCCAGAACCCCTTGAATGAAGGGGAGGCCAGGTCCCCTTGAGGAAAGACCCCACTACCCTACTGCCAATTTATGCAGTGAATCATTCTCCCATTCTTTCCGAAGGAGAGCTTCAGTCTTTTACCAGGGTAACTATGCACTGGGGAAAGGGAAATTATCAGACATTTCAGGGACTACTGGATGCTGGCTCTGAGCTAACATTGATTCCAGGGGACCCAAAACATCACTGTGGTCCTCCAGGACCAAAAGTAAGGGCTTATGGAGATCATGTAATTAATGGAGTTTTAGTTCAGGTCCAACTTATAGTGGGTCCAGTGGGTCCTGGGACTCATCCTGTGGTCATTTCCCCAGTGCCAGAATGCATAATTGGCATAGCCATACTTAACAGCTGGCAGAATCCCCACATTGGCTCCCTGACTGGTAGGGTGAGGGCTATTATGGTGGGAAAGGCCAATGGAAGCTATTAGAGCTACCTAGAAAAATAGTAAATCAAAAACAATATCACACCCCTGGAGGAATTACAGAGATTAGCACCACCATCAAGGACTCGAAAGACGCAGGAGTGGTGATTCCCTCTACGTCCCCAGTCAACTCTCCCATTTGGCCTGTGCAGAAGACAGATGGATCTTAAAGAATGACAGTGGATTATCATAAGCTTAACCAAGTGGTGACTCCAATTGCAGCTGCTGTACCAGATGTGGTTTCATTGCTTGAGTAAATTAACACATCTCCTGGTACCTGGTGTACAGCCATTGACTTGGCAAATGCCTTTTCCTCCCTTCCTGTCCATAAGGCCCACCAGAAGCAATTTGCCTTCAGCTGGCAAGGCCAGCAATATACCTTTACTGTCCTACCTCAAGGATATATTAACTCTCTGGCTTTGTGTCATAAAACAGCAAAAAGACACACAGCTGGGAGGTAACCACAAGATTGCACTAGAAAGAGAGGAAGGAATGATGATGATGATGATGATTGATTGATAGATAGATAGATAGATAGATAGATAGATAGATAGATAGAAAGAACACCTGCTTCAGAGAGCTTTTTCCTCAGTATTTCTTTCTTCCACAACAGGTACCAATTTTCCTGTGTGCACTCATAAACCCATTTCTCGCCATTACTGATAGCTATGTTCTAAGCCACCAAGTGAGTAGGTACATCACACACTTTTACAGGAGTGCAGAGAGGTAGAATGGTTATTTAGCCTAGGGGTCACATTCCAAAACGACCTACTTAGGCTTTTAATTTTATCAACAAATAAAGTTTTGGCAGAGTCACGGTGACATAAAGACAGGAGTTAAAGGAGCAAACACTAATAATGCAACTGAAACTTACTTCTCTGTAGTTCATAATGCATTTATATTTCCTATGAATCTAGAAATTATCTTGCTAATAGCACAGTATCTTGCTTTGTCTTTGTGTGTGTTTCAACGTTGATGTGGTACCCCAAATGCACCCATATGTGAACACCGCTGGGAGGCGTGGGTTTCAATTGTTCTGGATACACACTGGGAGGAGAGGAGTTGGTCAGACCTGATGCAAGCCTGGGGAAAGACAACACCCTCCTATTGCCTCAAAATCCGCTGGATAAAGTCAGAATGAGGAAGAGCCAGGGTATACCTGCAACACCCTGAAGAGAGGCAGTCCATGAGGGCTCTCATAAATTATACCGCACAAATTGTTTCACATTGTCTCTTCCTGGAGGTGAAAGGAAACAGCTGATGGTTCCGGATCAAGTTGAGGCACCTCTGACCTCCAGCCCCCAGAGCCACAGCGCCGCCTGCTGGTGGAGCCCCGCCAGAACTGACATAGACAGGTCCAGCCTCCAGGTGCACCCACGCCCTTTTCTTGCACCACGAAGCTGAGCAGCCTCTCTCTACTCCCTGTGACCGTCCTCTTTCGCCTCTGCGTGGTTCAGCCTGGAATCCTGAAGAGTCTGAGTGAGTGAGGCATGGCAATCCTGGGTGTGGTTGAGGGTAGGGAACATTTCCTCTGAGGAATCCATGGAAAGAGCTGGCCCTGATGCTTGGAAGTGACTTATGGTTGCCCTTTACTCACCCTGTGGCATTTTTCTCCAGCTGCACAGAAACCTGGATATTTCCCAGAGTTTACTCTGTCCTGCCCTTTCACCCTTTTACCTCTGCACTGGCATGATAAAGCCTGCCTGGGGGCCAAGAAGTGTTGCTTCTTCAACAGTCAACATCAGTGTATGGAACCCTGGTGGACTTTGGATTGAGGTGAGGAGCCCCAGATCTTCCCTTCTCGGCTGCCCCTGGAATCTTCCTGCAGAAGCATTCATCTTAGAAGGAGCTGAGAACCGCCCATGCCCCTGGAAATCATTGAGATCAGAGCTTTCAAATTGGGTTGGCCCACAGGTCTGCCTCTGAACTGTGAAGGGGGTGGCTCAATAGACTTCCTTGCTCAGAATATGCACTGTCCATTTCACATAAGGGGCACTACCCTTCTCCTCTGTATGAAGGGGACATTTGGACAAGATAATCCCTAAGCTGCTCAAGGGTTATCGAATTTTTATTGTTATTATTTTAATTTTTCATGGTACCTTTCACAGCACATTTCTCTTCATATTTAAATTGTAAGATAAGGGATTATAAATTCATCATTCCTTAGGATTACTTGCCTAGAGTCCCTGATCCCCAGTCCCTGATTCTGGGGCAGCAAATCTCAGTTTTCTTTGAAGGAGAGTACTTAGCAGGATTTCTGCCACAGGGCCCGGGGACACAAAACCATGTCCCCTGCAATGCCATGTCCCCTGGCATTGACGAAGTACAAGCCAGGCTGAACCTTCCCTGAACCTTTGCACCTTCCTACATCCCTGATTCTCTCGTCTCTCTCAAGGTGGAAACTCCTTAACAAGCCTGAGGAGACGCCGGTGCTACAGGCTCAGATTTGGATAACTGGTCTCCAATTTGCCCATGATGTTCCCAGGCCCAAGACGTCCTTTTAGAGTTAAATGCTTGTTAATATGACAAGAAGACAAAGAGATAAAACATTGTATATTTAAAACCACAGAAAAATCTGTAAGACTGCTGAATCTTCTCTCTCTCTTTTTCCATCCTTTATGGCTTTTTCCCTTAGGATCTGAAAAAAGGATGTGATTACTATTTCACATTTAGTTAAGGACCACAAAGGTAGTAGAAGTCTGGACAAGTCTTCCAAAATTTTATTTGTAACTATTATAAACAAATGTTGAAAAGTCAATTATTCCCTAGCATGCTTTAAGGTGACATCTAACATTTTTATCATAATTGCATAATAGTTACAGGGAATAAACCTTTAAGAATATGATGAATATTGTAATTTCATTTGAAAAGCATACCTTAATCTTTTTAACGTTTCTGATGGAATTTAATCATCTTGACTTGATAGTCATAACTATTAAGGAAAAGAAAAAGCATGCTCTTTTCTCCCTTCTTCTTGCTCTTCTTCTCCCTTTTTTAATCATTTCCTGAACTATTCAAACCAAAACTATGGGTGAGTAGGTTTGTTTAGGACTCACTCTGCAAAGCAGATGTCTAGACAGGATTAGACAATCAAGAGTATGTGTCAGGGAAAATGCCTGTGAGGGGCAAAGGGAGGCAGCCAAAATGGCAAGGACAGCATGAAACCATGATGCAGGGCTGCCTGCTCTGAGGGAGGAGAGAACGAAGGAGTAAGAGTCTCAGAATGAAGTACAACATTAGTAAAGTGCTAGCCAGGCTGAAAGACAAGGCTTGAACTGAAGTCACCTATCAGAAGAGACCCAGGTCTCAGAATGGGCCTGCCTTAGTGTTTGGGCTGCACTCAGTCGTTGACTGGGAGTAACCTGAGGGAAGCATCCATGACTTCTGCACAGACATAGTGGCAGATGCAGAGGACAGTAGCTGGGAGCATCCATCAGTTACACACCCTGAAGCAGCAGGAGATCTGAGCAGTGCATTTCCATGCTCACCACTGTCCTCTACCTTGTGCTGCACAGTTTCTTCTCCAGGTGTGGTGATGAAGGCTGGTTATCCCAGTTACGGAGGTTGAGGTGAGAGAATCTCTTGAGCCTGGAAGGCAGAGGTTGCAGTGAGAGGAGATCACACCACTGCACTCCAGCCTGGGCAACAGAGCCAGACCCTGTCAAAAAAAGAAAGAAAGAGAAAGAAAGGAAAGAAAAGAAGAAAGAAAGAGAGAAAGAAAGAGAGAGAAAGAGAGAGAGAGTGAGAGAATCTTTGAGCCTGAAGGCAGAGGTTGCAGTGAGAGGAGATCACACCACTGCACTCAGCCCGGCAACAGAGCCAGACCTCTGTCAAAAAAGAAAGAAAGAGAAAGAAAGCAGAAAAGTGAAGAAAGAAAGAGAGAAAGAAAGAGAGAGAAAGAGAGAGAGAGAGAGAAAGAAAGAAAGAAAGAAAGAGAGAAAAGAAAGAAAGAAAGAAAGAAAGAAAGAAAGAAAGAAAGAAAGAAAAAGAAAGAAAGAAAGAAAGAGGAAGGAAGAAGGAAGGAAGGAAGGAAGGAAGGAAGGAAGGAAGGAAGGAAGGAAGGAAGGAGAGACAGAGAAAGAAAAGAAAAGAAAGGAAAGAAAGGAAAGCTGCTTAATGTCAACCTCTTGAGTTTTTCATCTTGGCCGTCAGTGTCTAATCCATCATAGATGCTTCCCAATGGGTGTTAATATGTAATACACAAATCTTCACAGTAAGTGTCCGCTCACATGTCAGTCCTCTTGCCCTACCACAGACATCCTTGCTACTGATTTTCTAGTCCTTTGCCTCCCAGGCTTCTTTTTAAAAAACTGGGTTTTAATATTGTTTAGGTATTTAATATTATTTACGTATAACAAAGCCAACATATCAGGAGATGACTGCCATTTAAAAGAGAGTTTGTTATACTCACATATCTCAAGGGAGAGTCACACCTTGCCATGGGAAGGGTAGGGCAGGGGGGCACATAGGAAGCACCTTTTTCCATCAAGAGATAGAGAGAGTGAGGGAGAACTGCGGGCAAACCTTTTCTGTGGTTCCTGAAAGAAGGAGCAGGTAAGGCAGGGTAAGTGTCTCAAGATTGGCCAGTTTGAATAATTTCAGTGGTCTCTGAGGCAAAGATGCTGTCCCTAGCTGTCTCTGAGTCAGTACCATGATGTTTCCTATGGCCCCAAACCCTAGTAGACCCAGGGTCTAGCTTATCTCAGTAGAACACAACACTGGACTGGCCCCCAGAGACCCAGGCTCCAGGCTAGCCCCTACGGCCAGGACCCAGGACAACCCCGGTGAACATAGTCTCCAGGCCAGCTCCCAAACACCCACCCCCCAGGGTCAGCCCCAGTAAACCCAGGCTCCAGGCAGGTCCCCACAGATCCAGACTCTAAGCCAGCGCACATGTCTCCAGGAAACTGGCCAGCATCTGCAATGCCAGGATCCAGACAAGCCCCGACAGACCCAGTCACTGCAGCTGCCACAACACCAGGCCAAACCCAGGCTCTAGGCCAGACTCTGTGTTCTCAGAGTCTAGAACACAAAGGGTCCAGGACTGATCTAACAGACCCAGAATCCAGGTCCATCCCAGTAGACCCAAATACCAGGCCAATTCCCCATGCACCGAGGATCTGGTACCATCCCTGAAGACCCAGGCTCAAGGTCAGACACCATGGACCCAGGACACAGGCCCAACCCCTTGGACTAAGGCCATAGGCCTGCCCAGTGGACCCAGGTTTCAGGCTCATCTCAGTACTTGGTCAGCCCCTTCAGACTCAGGCTCAAGGGCCACCCCAAGACCAAACCAACCCCCATGGACCCGGGTTTCAGGTTAGCTCCTATGAATACAGATTCCAGGCCCAACCTCACCCAGGTAACAGGTCCAACCACCTACACCCAGGCACCAGGCTAGGCTGCCCAAGGACTCAAGCCTGCCCACAGACCACACCCAATGGTCTCCCCAGACTCTCTGGACAGACTGACTGGGGAAGGGCTCTGAAAAGCCTGCAATAAGTCCCTACTTCTTCAAATGTACAGATAGTAACATAAGGGAACAAGAAACATGAAAAATTAGAGAGGTGTGATACCTTCAAAAGAACACAGTAATCTCCTAATAACTGATCTCAAAGAAGTGGAGAAATACAATACTGCCTGACAAAGGATCCAAACTAGTTATTCTTAGGAAGCTTGATGAACTTCAAAAAATAATACTAGTACAGAGAAATAACTCATGAAATCAGAAAAAGAGTAAATGACCAAAATGAGAAATTTAATAGAGAGAAAAGCCATTTTTAAAAAATCAGACATTCTGCAGCTGAAAAATGTAATGAATGAAATTTAAAATTCAATAAAGAGCATCAACAGCAGAATTGATCAAGCAGAAGAAAGAACCTGTAAACTCAAAGAAAAGTTATTTTAAAATATACACTCAGATGAGAAAAAAGAAGAAAATGAAGAGTAGTGAAGAAAGATTATAAAATGTCTAGGACAGCATCAAAAGAGAAAATATTCAAGTTATGAGATTTTAAGTAGAAAGACATAAAGGGGTAGAAAGCTTATTTAAATAAATAATAGCAGAAAACTTTCCAAATCTGGGGAAGGACATAAATATATAGGTATAGGAAAGTCAAAGGCTTTCAATAAAATTTAAACCAAACAAACAACACTACACCAAGATATATTACAATCAGTCTGTCAAAAATCAAAAGCAGAGAGAGGATCCTGAAATAAGGGAATTCCTATAAGGCAAACAGTGAACTTTGCAGCAGAAACTTTAAAGACCAGGAACGTGAAATGATATATTCACAGTGCTGAAGGAAAAAAAGTAAAAGTAACTGTCCTTCAGTAATGAAAGACAAATTACAACTTGTCCAGACAAACAAAAGCTGGAGGACTTTATTGGCACGAGACTAGTATTACAAAAAAAAAAAAAAAAAGCTAAAGGAAGTTCATCAAGCAGAAAGAAAAAGATTTTAATAAGTAAGATGAAAACACACGAAAGTATAAAACTCACTAATAAAAGTAAGCACACAGTCAAATTCAGAATACTCTAATACTATAATAGTGGTGTGTAAATCAAATATTTTTAGTATGAAGGCTAAAACACAAAACTATGAAATAATAAAAGCTACAATAATTTGTCAAAGAGTACATAATATAAAAAGATGTAAGTTGTAACATTAAAATTTTTAATGTGGGAGCCAGGCACAGTAGCTCATGCCTATAATCCCAGCTACTCAGGAGACTGAAGCAGGAAGATCACTTGAGCCCAGGACTTTGAGACAAGCCTGGGCAATGTAGCAAGACCCCATCTTTTAAAAAAGGGGGACAGGGTGGAATCAAAGTGTAGAGTTTTAATGTGATCAAAGTTAAGTTGTTATCAGTTTAAGGAAGACACAGTAAATAAAAATATTATTTTATGTTTATGAATTAAAGAATTTATATTGTTAAAATGTTCATACGACTCGAAGTAATCTACAGATTCAATGAAATGCCTATCAAAATTCCAAGGATATTTTTCATAGAAATAGAAATAAAAGGCCCTAGAATTTACAGGGAAATTCTAGGAAATTACAGGGAACCACAAAAGACCCTTTGGTTTACATGGAACCACAAAAGACCTTTTATTAAAGACTGCTTTAACAAAAGCAATCTTGAGCAAAAGTGACAAATCTTTTTGTCAGGAGACATCACACTACCTGATTTCAAAATACACTACAAAGCCATAGTAATCAAAATAGCATGGTACTGGCATAAAAATAGACATGTAGGCCAATAGAACAAAATAGACATCCCAGAAATAAATCCATGAATTTACAGTCAAGTGAGTTTTGACAAAGGTGCCAAAAATACCCAAAGGGGAAGAGACTGTCTCTTCAGTAATAATGTTGGCAAAGCTGGATCTCCATATGCAGAAGACTAAAATTGGACCCTTATCTCACACCACATGTAAAAATCAACGAAGTGGGCTAAAGACTTAAACACAAGAATTGAAACTATAAAGCTACTAGAAAAAAATATAGTGGGAAAGGTCCACGGCATTGGTCTGGGCAATATTTTGGATATGACCCCAAAAAT